TATATATTTTTTGGGTTTTCGGTTTTCTCTTTCGCTCTCTCTGAGTGTCCACTGTGAATAAGTGGTCACTTTCTTTTTTCTTTTTTCTTTTTTTGTGAAAATAAGTGGTCACTTTCTGTGGGTCAGGTATATGTTTATTTTTATTATTTTTTTAATTCTATTATTGCAAAATGGCCCTTCACTTTTTCGGATTTCTTGGTTTGTAATTCTTTTCGGTAAGAATTACCAGTTACATTATATATATTTCATAATAATCATTTTGTTGTTTTGATAACGGTGATATTCTAAATTACTCTACAGTAAAGGGAAGGGGATCAAATTCGGGTGTTGGCCCACCGACTTAAACCCACATCAGTTATTTTATATGTTTACAAGTGTGTCTTTTGTTGCATTTTAAGTTATCTTTATTTCCTTATACTTAGTTCTTCATGATAAATGTATGTTAGCATAAATGGTTAAAAATAACTATTCATGTACACCAGATCACATGCTTGAATCTCCCCCCATCCAAACTATAAAAAAAATTATCCCTCCATTAATATTGCTTGTATAGAAAAATTGAAAATAACTTAAAATTTACATGAATTAATACTATGCATATAATTAGTGAAGTACCTAGATGCATACACCATATAAGGAAAGACAACATGTTCCTTAGATAAACCTATTTTGTTTTTGGTGGGAGGGAATTCAATTTTATGTCTTTCATCCAAGCGATAAGGTTAAAAGCATTGTTTCTTAAAAATAGATAAGGAACAAATAAACAATTGATGTACAATTTGAAGTTTTCTTTCACCTTTGTACCTTTGTGTTTGTGAATGCGACGTTCGCGTTGCTATCCAAACCAAAGTACAAAATTATTATTTTATTATTTAGTCATAGTGTTTTTTTTTATTTTCAATGTTGGATATACTATGAGGTTGAATTTCATGTTTTCTGGTATTTGTATTGAAAGCAAAAATCATTAAATAAATTTAAATAAGGTTCCTTCAACCCCCATACTGGCCTTATCATGAAGAAGGGCGTATGTCCTTTCGCCTACACATGCCTTCATTCAGGAAGTGGTCCAGTGAGTGGACCACGGTCACCACAATTATTTTTCACGTAGTCAAAAATTAAATTATGTTTTACCGTATAAAAGGAAAGGCATCCCAGGTAGTAATACAGTAGAAAACGACAATCAGTAAATAAATTAAATAAAACGACAATTGGAAAGCAAAAAATAGAATAAGACAATAAGTTAGTGAAATACGGTAAATTCGAGAATAACCACGGTAAAAACTGATGAAACAAAGTGGGGGCCCACAGGGCCCTTCGTAGTCTTATTTTACTCGTATCAAGCTGATCAAAGCGAAGACAGAAAAGCGAGAATAAGTTACTCGCTTTCGTATTTTTTTAACCTCGGGAAGGCAATTTGTACCCGTCCTCTCATCTCACTCTGTCAGCCGTCTGACACAGCGCCATGATTTCGCGGGTCCCACCCGACCCGAAAGCCTGCCGACTGACGACACCATTTGACGGCCCCCTCTCCTTCCGTTAACGTCCATGTCAGCAGTCGTTTTCACTCCTTTGTCAGCTCCGTTTATTTTATTATTTGTTTGTTGTTAAATTTAAAATTTTTAAAACAAAAAGCGATTTTGGTGGTTAACTAACTTTGGGCTTGTCGTTACCGCGAATGTTTCCGGGATTAGAGTATGTTCCTCTTAAAGCAACATAACCCATTACTATTTTTTTTGGGTCGAATACCCATTACTATTAAGCCTTGAAATACTAGCCTCCCTTCTCTCTCAAACCTCTTTTGCCGTATTCTATGGAGAGGGAGATGTCACTCCACCTAGACATGGCATTACCATTAGTATCGTTTTTGCGGTGTTTGTATCATTCTCATGTCAACCCACTTTTCTTAATGGCAAGACACGACACGACACGATAAGAAAATAAATTAAAATGTTAAACATGAACACGATCCAATACAATTGGGGAATCACACAACATCACATGATAACAATAAAAAATAATAACTAAAAATAATAATAAAACAATAAAATCAACCCTAACCACTCCTGCGTAGCCCGTCCCTCTCTTTCTTCTCCTCTCCCAGTGTTCATCTAAGAAACCCATGACCAACCACCACCACTCAAGACCCCAACCCACCATGGCTTGACATCATTGATCCCCTCTCAAAACCACAACCACCAGCCATTAGTTGGCTAAAGTGGAGGTATTTGAGAACAGGCAAAAGGAGTAGGAGGGCCTGTATAACCAAATTATTATCAAGGTGCTGACGGAGACGTTCCAATGGGCGGCACTGGTGATGCTCAGATGCCTAGTGGTGGATTTGGCAAGGCTAGTTCTGGATAAGAAGCTAGGAGTTAAAAACTAACAATACAAAGTTCGAGTTATTTTCTTAAAAATTACAACGGATTAGTTGCAATGTGAGGTTTGGTTTCCTTTTACAGGAAAGTGAGAGAGTTTGGGTTATTGTTGGAATAAAATAAAAAAAGTGTTGCGACACCAACGCTCAACAGCTTCTGCAACACCAACAACGCTACACTTGACGTTCCATTGTTTCCTCCTTGCACATAGGCTGCATCATGGCTGTGCAAGCTTCACACACCAAAAAATAAATAATAATAATAAATAATAATAAAAAATTCAGTCCAGACAATAGCTGGATTGGTATTTGGCCCCATGTTTGGATTTTTCCAAATTTTTTATTTTTTATTTATAAATGAGCGATAATATTTTTATTGATAAGATTTTTTTAAAAAAAAGTACAAACAACTAAGGCGTCGAATTTGGATATAAATGCAACAACAAGTTGAATTGATCTGAAGAGAATCTGCACAACCCAAAAAATGATTAAAATCCCCAAATCAATATTCAAAACACATGTACATACAATAAAGATTTGTCATGCAACAGTATAAACGACAAACTCATATCGAACGCCAAAAGCCAAAAGAAAAGAAAATATCCTAAACAAAAAACAAACCACATCAAACTCCTAAAGAGTTCATAAGAATTATTAGACTAAAACAAACTAAGAAACAAGACTACCGCTCCAAATCATTTCGTGCAACCACAAAAGACAACAATTACCACATTTCACAGTGACCAAAAAAACAAAAACAAAGAATCCAAAGGGAAAAGTAGGAGAAAAAATGAGATAAGGTAAGAAGAGTGGCCGTCGAGACCGTGTCTATGAATTTTTTCTTAGAGTTTTCTCATAAAGTTGCAATTAGGTTCTCAAAAAAGCTAATAATATTGGTTAGCATTTCTAGAAAAACATTGAATCATCAATTCTTTTTGTTTGTAAGAAGAATAATTGATTGTTAAATTTTATGGAAGGGGAATGACATTTTAATGATGGGGAGTGAAGGAGATGCAAAAAATAGTAGGGCAAGACATATGAGGATGGGGTATGTTGGCCCCAATCTCACATGCAAGGCGTTTTTTAATTTGAAGGCCCTCTCTCTCTCTCTCTCTCTCAACAGGAACTCCTCTCAATCACGTGCCCATTAAATGTGTATATTAAAAGCCTCATGGGCCCACCTGACCAAATAAAAAAAGCTTCATTGGCCCACCTGACCAAATTAACAAGCTTCATGGGCCCGATATTATTGTCAAATATACCAGCCAGCCCAAAATTAATAATAAAATAGGCCCTTGCTTCCCATGTACCGGATCCTAAAAGAAGAATATCACTCTTTAAACATCATTTCAGAATCATATATATCCCAATTGCACAGTGATTGTCTAGTTAGAGGAAACCATTTATTTTAACATTTTGGGACGTGGGATTGGACATATTTTACCGTTGGAAAGAGAAATATTACTAAATTAAATTAATGCGTAGTTAGTAAACAAAGACGACTAAAAATTTGAGAAATTTAATCAATATCCTAACTTTTTCATGACTTTTTCTTTGTCCACGGCCACACCATGATTTTTTTTTTAAATCTCAAATTTATTATTTTTATTATAATTTTCCTTTTCAAATTCCAAAAGCTTGAGGACAACGGGCAGGCCATTAACAATGTAGTATCTTTCTATGTGATAAATGTATTATTCAGTGGCCTATGATTCTCCCTGTGTCTTGTGCAAATGAATTCAGTGGTCCATGATTTTCTCTCTCATTAATATAAGACAAATATTTTATTTATTGATATTATGATTCAAAATATAAATTTATGTTTGTCTTGATGTCATATCATGTGAATTAGTAAGATTACGTGAATATGAAATATAAAGTAAGGTTTTGGAATGTAAAAGTGGTTAAAGAAGTTTTGGAGATGGAATCGCATGATGTATTGTTTTCTGAGGGTGGGGACGTGGCTCGTCAGCCTTGAAATTTGCAGCACTTTTGGTGCCCATGGTTGTTGGTCTTGGAGTGTAGACACATGGACTGGAGTGTGCTTCTCTTCTCCCCTGTCTGGCTCTTTGTTCTAGTACTGGTACTACAAGTAAATAATTAAATGAGTGTTGACAACTTGGCTGGTGGGACAAGTAAACTGTGAACAAGGACATCACATTCAATTATATATCCTGCTCTCTCGCTCTCCATAACATAAACCTCAATGCAAAAAACTAACTATGATAATAATGCACCACATTAATAAAACGAAAAAAGGTTATGACCATGATAATGCACATATATGGTAAGTTCAGAGAGCTTCAATTGCGAAATAGAGACAGCTGAGTGCTCGACCATGCTTGCCGGTCGACCGACCCTCTCTGTCCAGTTGCGGGACACCAAGAATGTGGAGCCTCAAGAAATCTATTTGAAGGAGTTTCCAAGAATATGATATAATAAGAGACAGTAATAGCACATTATTTGTTTGCAGGATGGGGATAGTTCCACCATCTCCTGAAAAAGAGGATGAATTCTCGTCACAAAAGGTTCGTTTTGTTCTAATGATCCAAAGTTTCCAGACCTAAACTGCAGATCAAAACATATTTCCAATTAATTAAAAGGGGTTTTAGTTATTGATTTAAAATTAAAACTAAAGGATACTTTTACTTTCTCCTCATTAAATCTGCGCACACATCGTACGTGACAGTTTCTCTGGTACAATACATAATTCTATATTATACGTGACCCTCTCTGAGATTCGAAATTATTGATGCTATATTATACCAATTACAAAAATTATGGGACAATACAGATGGAATAAGGAAGCAATAACTTCACCGTTCAATTAATCCCACTGTTAAACAGAAAACAATTTAAATTAAACCAAATTATTCAACTCCAATGCTTGAACAGACGGAAATCTGCAGCAGTAGCGGAGCTAGCTAATCTTTCTACTCCCGTCAGACCTATGGAGCTGTAGAAGCAATGAATTGGTAACTACAAATATTGAGCTCAAAGCCATCATCCCTCCTGTCAAAACCCAATATTGTGTTATTGGAAGAGATTCATTCATAGACAAGGAACAAGCATCTAGCAGGAACTAAAGGAATGAGGAAGATCATTTTACTCACCGGAAAGCGATGGTGTCATGGCAAAATCATATTGAGGAAGCAGGACTCCGGCAGCTATGGGGATTGCAATTACGTTATATGCAACCGCCCAAGATAAATTCTGGTACACTTTTGCCATTGTTGCCTGTGCCAGTTCCAGTGCATCTACAACCTGCAAGGAACAGGTTCCGGTCATCGAGTATGAAAACATGGAGCGGAGAAGCTTGTAAGACTTGTTTATGAGATTGTAGAAATTACTTGTGATAATTTGTTTCCAAGAAGTATGATGGAAGCAGCATTTGAAGCAGCATTTTCTTGCCCCTCAACCTGAAGAGCAATCCCAACGTCCGCAAGAGCCAAAGATGGTGCGTCATTTATGCCATCACCAACCTTCAAAAGAACTAGACACGTCAGTTTTAGCATCAACTCTCTAATTCTTCCGAGATGATGAGGTATAATGAATCTTTGGCATCAAGCTTTTAGTGTTACGGATAGATTTACCATTGTGTTACAACAGATTTGGCACAGCAAAAGGAAAAAAATTGGAGAAAATAAGTTATTAAATTCAGACGGGTACCATTGCAACACGATGCCCTTCATCTTTAAGACTAGAAATAGCTCCAGATTTCCCTTGTGGAGTCAATGATGATTTGATAAATTCATTTTCTATTCCAACAGCTTTCGCTATAGTTGCAACTGCCTCTTCCCTATCTCCAGAAAAAAGGACAGTTCTGATACCTTTCTGCTGGAGTCTTGCAGTCAGAGCAACAAAATGTCAGCACACCAGGCAGATAATAACTTGATAAAATTAGAGTAAAAGGGTTACATACAAAAAATACAGCAATAGGATCAAATAATAAAGTAAAACTAAGACAGGTCATATGTAAAGCCTGCCATCACAAAATCCGCCATATGCTCTATGTTATTTGAAGACAAAAGATTGAACAGAGCATTGCTGTGGTTGTTTAGGTAAGGACAGTTCAAATTATAGATAAAACATTTGGATGCACAAATGACAATAGTCAAAGACTGGAAACGGGAAATTTTGAGTATGCACAAATAAAGGGTAGATAATAAGTAAATGGTTCCTTGCTAAGTAAACACCTTAAACCTAATGCTTATAAGGCAATGGAGGTATTACCTAGTTACAGTAAACTCAGCATCATGCCGCAGGCTATCAGATATTGCAATAGCACCGATGATGCCTTCTCCTTCACGTCCAACATATACAATTGTTTTTGAATAGCCTGAAGGTGTAATGCCTTCTGATGTTTGACGCACAGCCTGTTCTAGATTCAAAATATCAGACATATCGGTTCGTCCCTGGAACCGTTTGTGAACCCATTCTAAACTACCAACTGCAACCAAACGGCCATCTACTTCTGCTAAAGTTCCAAAACCTGGTTCTGTTAATTGCCTTTTCGTGACTGGGATACTAATATTTAATGATTTTGCTTTATTTATGATGGCCTTGGCAATTGGATGTGATGCTGTATTCTCTACCGCGGCAGAAATTTGAAGAATTTCCGACTCTTCATACATAAAAGAAGCAATACCCGAAACAGCAGGTTTTCCTTCTGTGAGGGTTCCTGTCTGAAGGTTGAGGTTCAGAGTGAGATTTGCAGTTTCACATATAAGCTAGAGTGAAATGCAGCACTTAGCCAACATATCTTTAAACTTCAGAGCCAGTTTCTGGGTGTGAGCATGAAATTGTGAAATGTAAATTACCTTGTCTAAAGCAATATAATCTATGTTGGCCAAGCGTTCCAGCACATCTGCTCCTCTCACAAGGAGCCCTTGCCTTGCTCCTGCTCATTTTTCAGTGCAACAGAAGTAAAATTAGAACCGAGAACCACATAGTGTTTGTAACTAGTAATATTTGTAAGCATGGTGGTAACAAGTAAATTTGAAACATGGCAGGATTCTGCATCAAATACCTAGCTAGCATGACTCTCACATATATGACTTAGAACCTCTATTACAATATGCAACATCAAAGAAAATTTTAGATGGTGTACCAAGAGAAGTGCCAACTAGGATTGCCGTGGGTGTGGCAAGACCCAGTGCACAAGGGCAAGAAACTACCTGCAAAAGAAACATGCATACTTGTTTGAAAAAGATTACGGAGAGGTTTTTCATATGAGATGTATTCTTTATCAAGCAGGAAAATGTCTAGTAATCTGCAAAAAAGTAATTGTAATATAGTGGTATTTATAATCAGTAATTGTTGTATTGTACAAGGGTGTAATTACACAATTTAAGCTATTACCTAAGTTAGCAAAAAATCCATTTTCTGAATAATAGTGATTAATAATCATAAATCAAATATAAATCAAGTCAATCAATTCACTGAAATAATGATTTGCTTTAAAACACCATACTAACCAAGACATCCACGGCAAGTTTCAAGCTCAACAACAATGGATCTCCATCTTGGCCCGCAATATCGTTGAGCAAAACATCAGGAAAAATTTGTGTTCCAATGTAGTACCTGAACATGACTTCAAAGCATAAGCATGCATAGTTGGGAAGAGCCACTTGGCACTCATGCATGACAATGTTTTTACCAAGTGAAAAGAAAACACACTGCGCTGTAAAGTCGATTAGTTTTATACTCATGCATGCAACCAAAACTTCATTAACATGATGGTTCTTTAAGCTTCTATGTAATATAAATGAGCTTAACAAATTTTATGAAAATATGACTCAAGCCTAACAATCATGATATGTGAGAAAGTAAAAAAACCACCACATACCAAAAGGCAAATGTTGTAGCTGACAGCGTCATTATACTGTATACAAATGGTCCAGCTATTGAATCAGCAAGCCTTTGTATGGGTGCTTCATTGCCTTGAGCATCCTCAACCTGACAAGTATGATATGCACGAATTGACGAAAGAGTAAGCGTGCTGATATTGACTAATAATGCACAGGCAATATCAAACTAAAACTTTCCTTGCATTATCAGCCTTCCCTCCAATGTGCAAAAGTGTCTGTCCTCTACCTCATATGTAATAAATTGTGTGTGTCATAAGCAAAAGTAGTTACTGACCATGCGAACAATCTTGGATATCATTGAATTGGAGCCAGTTGAAGATGCTTCAACCCGCAATGGACCATCCTGAAATAAGTGAACAGATGCCCTTCTGTTTTAAGTACGCAAAGATAAATTTCAAATGAAATTAACTACCAAAACTTTACAGGTGACTTGTATGCATATAAGCTATGTGAATATACTCTAAACTCTTGACCTAATCCAGCAAGGTTAACTAAATGCCCAACTATGTTCCCATTTTAATCTGTGAACTTCCTGTCCTTGATTTCTCTAGGTGATACATGACTTAGAAAGCTCTTCAACGTGTCAAACTAAAGCAAGTACAGAAGTATGAACTGAAAAATAAAAATAAAAAATAAAGTGAAAACTATGGGCGTGAGTGACAACCTATTAAAATTACACATCACTCTCCAGTATACGTAAACATACCCAGTGTAAGCATGGATTCGTCCACAACACTTCTTCCAGCCAGAACTCTTCCCTGTTGAAGCAGTTTATTTTCAGCAAACACTCAATCCCAAAGTTTCCAAACACAAAAGAAGAAAAGATTAGGGAATTTAATGATTCACACTCATTTCAATATACATTTCTTGAGTTTTTCTTGAAGTTTCAAAAGGCCATGCCAAATCAAACTAGAGTAATAATTGAAATTTGGATTTTTAATGATGGTGTCTGTAGACAATCTAAAATGCTTACATCCACAGGTATGGTTTCTCCTGGCAAAACCAACACAGAGTCTCCAACTCGAATATCATCAGTTGGGACCTCAACGCATATTGCATCAGCGCAAAGTACACTGTCGGCGGAGGAATCATTTTCTGAGGAAGCAATTACAAGTCTTGATTGCGTGTTTATCAGTGACTGCCAAGCACATTCAAATCAATCATGTGTTGGTTATACTATACACCACAAAATATAAGAGAAGGAAAGCAGCACCATATACTGTATCGTGTTTATATTTTTTCTATTTAAATTACAAATACAGATCACATTCTAACTTACCAAGAGTTCATTCATATCACTAGATGCCCTGATCCTTGCCCTTTCTTCAAGAGAACGTCCTAGGAGCACAAAACCAAGAAGCATGACCTGCATGATAAAAGAAAGGAGCTTTATGAGAAATTTCTCATCGACCAACAATATTAATGTTTCATCTACAAGCTTTAAAATGAACAGATCTCAATCAAGTCGATAGACAACTGTAAGCAAGCCAAGCCAAGTACAAAATTGGTTACTAAAGGCTCAAGATTTTTTTTTTTTGGGTTTTTGTTGGGGTCAAGTAAAGGCTCAAGCTTGGTATGGAGGCAGCAACACAATGATAGGGCTTGAGTGGCCGATACCAAGTCGGCAACACAGAGGAAGAAACGGGGGCTGTGCAAAGGGAACACCGGCAGTGTAGCACGATAAAGAAGGATCGGCGAGCGTTGACGAGGCTCACGGAGGAAAGAGAGATGGCTCGGTGAGCGATGACAGGCAGCATCAACAAACAAGGGGAAGGTATGGAAACCACGATAGAGAAACCATCAGAAATACATGAGAGCCAAGATTGCATACTAGGATAAGGCTCGGCGAGCATTAACAAGGCTCACGGAGGGAAGAGAGACAGCTCGGCGAGAGAGATGGCGCGAGGGAGACAAAGAAGTGGACAGAGATTTCAAGAGAAAGAGAGAAATCAAGAGGGTAAGGAAAAGTTCAAAAAGCTTATGAGACAAAGAAGTGGACATAAAAAAAAGGGATCTTATGAGAACAAAAAGCTCAAGAGGGATAGGCAGCGGCTGTGCAAGAGAACAATGGCAGGATAGCACAACATGCGAGAGATAAAGGCCAGTGAGGAGACAATCCGCAATGAAGACGGCGCGATGGAGACACAACAATAACGGGCTAACAGAAGAAAAGGTGGCAGTGGTAAAAGAAAGGTGCGGCTACAGCTAAGGTGGAAAGAAAAAAACATATTCATCTTTGAGAGGAGGAGATGAAAAAGCACTATACATAAACAAACACCCTTAAGGGTGAGGAATGAGGAGCGCCAACAACTCTCAATGTTGGCAATTGGAGGATCGCTAATCGGCGTTAGCCATAATACCATGTATAGAAACTGATTTTCCCTTAGCCATTCATATGATCATTGTACAAAATATATATACAAGTATGTAGAGAACAATCTACAGTTACAGCAAGCCTTTATTATAAACATAAATATGGAGTTAAGGCCTAATAACAATGTAACTGACAACTGACCATTTTCTATCAGGATCAACTGTTGTAACTGAAATACTATTGTAACTCCCGAATAGATATCAACAAACTGCTAGTAGGATCGTACAAAATGCAGAAAAAAATCATAAACTATAAACAATGCAAAGGTTGAAAGCAAAACCAGTCACCGGTTCATCAAAGAACGACGCATCCCATTGAAGGCCAGGGTTAAGAAGCGAGACCTACAAGAGCAAATAATTCAAATTACACAATTTAAAACAAAAACAAATTGGAATGCTAATGCTAACTTTTTGAAAAAGAGGGACTGACCGCACTAATTGTGAAAGCAGCTAGGGATCCAAATCCCACAAGAGAATTCATATTGGGGGATCCTTTCTTTAAGGCTCTCAGACCATCAAAAAGCAAGTCTGAGACAAATTGAAACTGAAGTTGTGAACTACCCATTATGCTAGAGCACTACTGCTTGGCAGATTGAAATCAAAGAATTTTGGAAGTACAAGTAAATTGCAGAAGACCAACCAACCTCGTCCGGGTCCTAACAAAGCTCCAGAAGCCAAACCAGCCTTCACATACGAATTATGAAGCACCTCCCAAAACGATCCTAAATGAATACAACACAAATTTAATGTGTCTACAAAATTAAAATTTCTAAACAAAGAAATCATTTCTTGTTATCACTAGTGTTACCATGAGCTACATGAATTCCAAGAGAATGCAAAATGTGGGAAGCGTGTGATCCACAACACAAGGCCACCAAAGTCCAAGCGAAAATCACTCTGTTCCTGCTCTTCACTAACATCTCCTCTTTCTTCTTCACCATTTCTTTCCACTTCCTCACACTCTCCGTCACTCCCATCCCGGAAGCTCTCCTCTTCGACGCAAAGCCGCACTCCGTCAACCTCCCGGCCAAGCTCTCTGCCACGGTCTCAACTCCGTCGGCGGCGACCTCCGGCCTCAGTTTAATCGCCGCCGTCTCGGTCAACATGTTGACCGCAACAGAGTCGACTCGTTCGTCGGCGGAGAGCACCGATTTGACTCGCGAGACGCAGCCGCCGCACATCATCCCGGAGACGTCGAGCAGCACCGAGGTCTCGGAGGCGCGCGGTTCTTGCTGAACTTGCTGAAGCGCCGCGGTGTTAGCCGAGGCTTGGAGGGAGCTGGAGAGAGTGAAATTAGAGTTTGAGCGGGGCTGGAGGAGGGGATTGGAACGACGACTTTGCGGGAGGTGAGGCTTGAAGTTGAAGGCGAAGCGGTCAACATTGGAGCTGGAACTGTAGCTGAAGAGGAGCTTTGGGTCAGGTGAGAGAGAGAGCCTTAGCATACCATTCACCATCGGTATATAGCCTGTAGAGAGAGAAGCTCACTTCAGCAACTGAGAGATAGAGAGAAAGAGGAAGAGAGAGATCTGATAGAGAAGAGAAGAGGCCGTGGTGGACGATGACCGGGAAAGGTAGAGGTGGTCGTTGAATTGGTTAAACTATTGGCGCTATAATTAAATATAATTTGACACGTCAGATTATTATCATCTCCGGTTCATCTTTTGTCTGTGAGCAGCTCGTTTTAATCAACCTCGTTTTAAATGAGCTCAACCAGAAAATATTAAAAACTGCTAAAGATATTATTTGCCCAAACAGGTTGTAGATTGACTATTATGCCCCTCGTGTGGAATATTTAAAGTGATGACCCAATACGGTCTTTGGGCCTAAACTTGGGCCTACGTGCGGTCTATGTTCATCTTGGGCTTTAACGGGTCACCCGGGGTGCCCTTTGCTTTTGTCATTTTCTATTATTTATCATTTTTCTAACTAGATATGCTTATTTAAAAGAAAAAACGAAAAAAATATATTTAATTATTATTGTCTTGTTTGGGCTCGTTCTTCTCGTGTTGTGCATAATATAACGAGTTTATATTATCATGCTTGTATCGATTAATCTTGTTTCATATATTGCATTGTACTTATATCAGCCGAAAATATGTCATATGATATGAGCGATATAAAAGAACTACTTGATCTGGGGGGCTTGAGCCTGTGCAAGGCCCACGAGTGCAGATGACCTCCGAAAGAAGATCTGCACACTTCGAATGATATCAGAATTAGAGTGGACTGGGGCTGATTCCAATCTAACCCTCTCCGATAGTTAAGTCAGAAACTAACTTTTGTTAGAGAGAATAGAGGTAGGGTTTATATTATGTGTAGAGTTATTTATTATCCTTGTCTGAAGATAGGTGAGGGGTATTTATAGGAGGGAGAAGGGGAGGTCAAGATATTTTTGGAAGAGATCTTTTCCCTATCATGAGTTACATTTAATGTTCTGTTCTAGACCATCATATTGCTTTGACAAGAGTCAGAAAGAGAAGTGACAGGCACACATGGATGAGAGGTATAATAAATGATCCCTCTCCATCACCAGCCTGTCCATTTAGAAAGATCAAGGTAAAGCAACACCTGGTCCAGGATGAGACGCGCATCTAACTGATCCCCTTTACTTGTCAGCTTTATTTATCGCAAAGGCAGAATGGTTATCTTGGCGAAAGTCTGACCAAATTTGTTGGTCGCCCATGCACCCCCATTTACCCCTGATTGGGTACGTGCCTACACACCCGATCATTAGTTCGATTCTTGGTCCACCGTACTCGACTAATCAATACACAGGTTATCTGGTCTGTCGTAACCATAATGAATCTTATGAGATATCAACAAATCCAATATATATATATATATATATATATTTTAATACAATAGAAAGCGAGAACGAGTCGATTCAGTGGCAGGGTTTTTTTTTATAAAACAGTGAGAACAAATATACAACTTGAATCCAAACTCACACGGAGTTATATATGAGGAGTACCCATACCCCTGCTTGTTTTGGGGATTATTAAACTAGGAAGCTAAATAGGTGAACCACCAAGTAGTAAAGTACCCACCAAAGAAAAACGAGTGGAGAGGAAACGTCGTCGTAACAAGAACACCGCATGACACACAACAAAATTATCCAAATATTTTATATCTTCCCTGATCCACGCTTTATCTGGTTCAGCTTCATCTTCAGCTTCTGCTTCCTCACAAACGCTTGAAAATGGCTCACAGTGAGTCGGTATCGGCGACCGAGACTCCGAAGCCCTTAGCCTCCAATTTTGCTCCAAACTGCGCAATGCTACTTTCTTCAACCAATTTTGCACCGTTTCTCAGAGCATCGCCATTAAAGAAGCCCAATTTGGTTCTTCCCGACATTCCAGCTTCAATTGCATCCGCCACTGATAAGTGTCTCCAATTGCTTCACTCATTGGCTTCTCAAAACCCGTTTCTCAGCAAACTGCTCTCTTTGCGTTCTGAATTTCAAAGTCTTTGCCACCAGGCACGTCTCTCTGCGTTGATTTCATGGTTAACTTCAAATTTATCAATGCAAGTGTAACTAAAGCTTCAACCTTTTTTTGTATTTTTTTCTTCTGGGTGCGTTCAGATTAGGTGCAGGAAGCACAGGCAGGTGGAGATTTTATCAGCTCACAATTTTGCAGCGGTTTTACCAGGAGATTCAGTGGCAGGGCTTGTGGTGGCAAATGGTATCTCCAACTTCTTGAACTTGTACAACACTCTCTTGGTTGTCAGGCTTGTCTTGACCTGGTTCCCCAACTCCCCTCCTGCCATTGTTGGCCCCCTCAGGTACCCTTGTTAATTAACCTCTTCTATTCACTTTATTAGTGGATACATTTACAATAATGTTTTGGTAACTTAATAAAGATTTGATCTTGACTTCGTCCGAGTTATATTGTTAGTCTGTGAATAAAGATCGCACATTTTAGTGTATCCCATTCATAAAGTTTTAATGTAAAAGAACATCAAATTCATTATGATGTGGATGTGGTGCCTTGTGCAGCACAATATGTGACCCCTACTTGAACATATTTCGTGGGCTAATCCCACCACTTGGAGGCACATTGGACCTCTCTCCCATTCTGGCATTTTTGGTTCTGAATGCCTTTACAAGCACAGCTGCTGCTCTACCTGCAGAGCTTCCAGCCTCATCACAACAAGTCACTGCTTCTCCTGCAGGAATTACTAACCTCTCTACGTCTCAGAAGAAATGGATGACAAGGCTTCAGGGAAACAACACGAAGAGCTCTGGTGGTGTGTGTTAGGCTTTACCCTCCATTGTTTTTTTTTTTGTAATATTCGAGTACTTCACACTAATCTTACGGCTATTTCTTTCTTTCTTTCTTTCTGTGTACTTGGCTGAAACCGCACTTTTTATTTTTTGCCTGGCATAAAAGGTGGTGGTGCATTGATGCCAAAAATGTAAGCATTAAGGATGAAAGCATATGGCAAATTTATATATATATATATTTTTACACAGGAGTGGTTGGTTACTAGTCTGATGCAGTTTTGATATATCAGCTGCTATCAAGCCCATATTTTAGTTTATTGATCAAGTGATGATATTTGAGGACAGAAGCCCATTTCTGGATGGTTTTCAATTGGATACTGTTGAGCCTAGTTTTCACTCTTCAGGTCCATGGAATGTTTCCCAAAACGAAGTTTCAAAGATAAATTAGTTTGGAGAAAAGTTTGAACTGTGGAAGTCATATAGGCAGCTTCCACCTTCTTCGTTGTTGGGTTTAGACACAATTTGCTTTTGTAGTTTGTCTATCATTCATGACCCATATTCCTTTTCTTGATAATCGAGATAAACTATAGTTGTGTTTTCAACAATTTGATTCATATGGCAAGAGTCTTGAAAATCCATGTGACGCATATAGCATCCGATTCCAAAAGGTTATTTTCGTTAATGGAGAATAATTTATCCCACTCAATCCGACACTAGAGCCTTCATGGTTAAGATGCTAACTCCCTAGTCTTGAAGGGAAAATTTTAATTATCTCCTAGTTTCTGGAAGGATCCTCGGGTCAAACTCTCTATGAGAACCATCAAATTGGACATCTGCGCTGATAAACGAACTAAGATAAGCTTCTGCTTCGAAAAGTAATTCAGTAATTCAATTGGACGAACAAGATAGAGAGTGAGCTATAACTAGTCCTATGCACTCCACAGAGCAAACTTCTTTTTCGGAATGGAGGGTATTTTGGTTCTCACTTTGTAAGTCTTGCATTCTTAACAGAGCCAAGTTAGACGAGAAAGGGTGGGCTGTCCTGATTCCTGAGGTAGTTTCCTGAATGGAGCCTGGAGCTGCATCGAGGAGGACGAGCAGGTTTTCTTCATATGAGAGGTTGGTGGCCATCGGGTTGGCCCTTCTAGCTGTGCTTTCTCCTCTTTATATCGACCGGACAACGGTAGATGATTCAGAACTTGATTTGGAGCAGCCTATTAACTTTGCTTCTTGGCTGCCTCTGCTGCTCTTGGTGTTGATCTTGGCCCTCACTTTGTCGCTTTACTTGGACCGAAGCTTTACCAGGTTTGATCCTTACTGGATTCACAGAGTTGGCGGTTCTTCTAGTGGCATCACGATAATTCTCATGGTTCTTGCGTTGGTGTTGAAGTTTAAAGCTTCTATTAGGAACTGGGAGGCTTAGCTCAAATCTTTTGTAGTACTTTTTTCTGCCATGTAATTTGCTTATCGCTTTACAGAACAAAGTTCATGTATCTTTTTTTTTTTATTATATATAAATCAGAATAAGCAGCTTCTTGTTGAATTGGAAGTCTTGAAATCTTTGTTTTCTGAGCCAAGATTCAGCAGCTTCTCAGTATTGAAAGGAAAAAAGAAGAAAAAAAACCTTTTCACCTCTCGAAAATCCTAGGAATTCTCTCTCTACACAAAACCATGCAAATAGAATTAAGATTGTCTTTCCAATCAAACCAAATTAAGAAAATAGCAGAACTAAACAGGTTCGTTTATCATTCAATGAGTAATATAAAATGAATGCTCCTTTCGCAGCCAATAAAAATATTTTACAAGGGAATAACTGAAGAAAATGAATGACATTGATCTCGCAGTTAGACTCTACGTACAATGAAAATGAACTTACAGAGGACAAAGCCCATCAATACAACAGATCAAAAGGGGCCCCAAAGTTACATGGAAAACAATCCGATTTTCACAATCCAAAGGCATACCACATTGCAATCAGAGCTGCGGTGAAAAATGACCACATATGACTGCTTCTAGATCGATCATCGGCACCACTGCACTCGTCATCAGCACCACTAAAGCATCCAGGTCTTGTTACTTTAGGCGCACCTCGCTCTGTTGCAAAGCTGCTGTTAGCCTTGCCACTGCTGAACAACACACACCAGAAATATGGAGACCCTCTATCACTGCCACTCACAGCAGCTCCCACTTCAGTGTGGTTCTTGTTGTAGAGAATTTCTAAGCTCTTGCTGTTTTCAATCAAGATTTTTGAAAATGCATCAGAAGGAGGCACATATTTGGACTGGCAGCCAAGTAAACGACCGGTAATTGGAGTGAGGGTTGAGGCTAGAACACCGCAGTTGGGGGCAAAAGTTTCAGCAAATTCAGATTCAGGGGGCTTCTTGGCGTCATCTCCTCCTACAGCACTACATTCACCTTGGTATGCTTTTATGTATTGCAGGGCAATGCAGGCCAAGCCAGGGTTGTCATAGAGGGTTGAAGCCTTATGTGCAGTTCTGTTGCTGTTAATCACACTCACTAACTCATCCGCAGGGTTATTAGTAACTTTGACTGCAATTTTCACATATGATCTCATAAGTGGGAGTTCATAAGTTTCTCTGATCCCCAAGCACAATAATACCAATATAACAAATAACGAACCAAAAACAAGAAAAAATATTTTGGATCCCACAAGAACGCTATTTGAGAGCATGCAATTGATAAGTCAAACTGAACCCAATGATGGAAAGAACCGAACTATGAAGCAAAAAAAATAAAAAAATCTCCCAACTCATAAAATCTATCTATTGTTTTGGTTACCAAAAACTAATTCTTCAAGGAGAATATTGGGTTCAAATAATTTGAAGTTTTTCTGCTTTTCGTTCTTTATCATTATTGTAAATCAAGCATAAATCAAGTAAACTCCAAGATCCAAAATTGTAATATTTGTTTTTCTTGTTTCCCTCAAATTTTGTCAGCAAACAAAATCAACATGACTACAACAGCTAATTAGAAACATTAAAAAAAGAAAAAGAAAAAAAAGATGAAGACTTTTAAGTGAAAAATCTCCCACCAAAATAGATCGAGTAACTTAAAATGTAGGCTCTGATCTTGACCAGAGAGATCTAAGGCCAACTTAAACTCCAACCAATAAAATCAGAGACTTGTATGCAAATGCAGAAGTGAGAAGTGTAGCCACGTTCAGAAAATGTATCAAAGACACACACTCAACTCAAGGTAAAGAAACAGAGTCCCAGAAATCTTAAAGCAGATCCAACATTTGGTACCCACTTAGATATAAGTTCCAAATCTGAGTCATGACACAATTCCAAGGTCACAGTGTCCTACCATAAACATATGCATAAAGAAAGAAACCACTTTTGTGTATGTGTTGTAGATTTGCAGGAAACTTACTCTGAGTAGCAGCTGCAGCAGAGACAACAAGAAGAGAAACTAGAAGAAACCATGTGCTCTTTGCCATTGTTGCTGTGCTGTGGTCTGGTTGCAGCGCAGAGAGAGAGAGAAAACGAGAGAGAGAGAGAGAGAGAGAGAGTTAAGTTTCTAATTAGAGAGCTAGATGAAGCCAGTAATGTGTCGGCTTCACTCGGGTGCGAGCTTTACTAAAACGGACAGCTATTATTTGCTCCTTTTTTTCCATTTTTTAAATTATTTTCCGTTTTAAAAAAGGAGAAAACTTGTTTTGTGGGTTGTGGTTGTGGGCCTTGTGGCAATGCAAGGTCACCAACCGGGTAACCGGGTCGAACCCGGATTTGGATCATGGATGTTCCTTTGAAGCTAAGCCATTACCACTCATGGCATGGCTTGGTTGGTGCAACTGCCTTCCATTGTGCCATTGTGTTACTTGGGGGCTGCCTAAGCATTGAATCTAATTGTCCAATTATTGACAGTTAATACAGTTTATGAATGATAGGCCTAGTTAGTTTACTGTGGATAGCTTGAAATTACAAAAATACCCTCGGACACAGCCACCTAGCACCTAGGCCTTTTAAATGGAGAAACATTTAAGGGCATATTTGGAAGTTTGAGATAATCAAATCGATAAGACTTGCAGATTCTTCACCGTTTATGTGTGTCTTAGACAGGTCTGGTGGCATGGCCACATTGAGCAGCACTGCGCACGTTAGCACAAACCCCTTTAGCTCCTTAGCTCCCCCTCCTTCACAGCCCATAAAGCTCGCCGCAAATGCAAAGAAGCTGCCGCGAGTGAGGTGCGCATCGTCACCGTCGAATTGGCGGGAGAGCAGGCGATTGGTCTCCATCTCTCTGTCTCTAGGTCTCTCTAATTTGATCCTTGTCCCTAACCGTACGGCTCTTTAACTCTGCTATAGTTTTTATCCTTATTCTCTGTTTGGTTGGCCAGACAGGAAAATTAAAGATTTTTAAACAAAAACGTAACTTGCATTTCGTATTGGGTTACTGCTGCAGATGCTGTTGCCGGCAGTCCATTCGATAAGTATGTGAAAAGGTAATGCCTTCAATCAGCTTATAGCTATTAGGCCATAAAGTTTAAAGCTTTGGCTCATAATTCTGCATAATTATGATAAACCCAGGAAAAAGCTTGACCCTCTTGAGGCTTATGTGTCGCCAGTCATATTGACCCAATTACAAATCAAGGACTTGGGTAATTGCCTTTGCCTTTGTTTTGTTTGGCCACTGATTTCTGTGTTGCCATTTTTGATGATTTATGCATCTCCTCTCTTTCCATTTGACACTTTTTTTTTTAAGTACAATTACTAAGTCCTTATAGTAGCAGAGTTGTGTTGATATAATCTTTCACCAAGTGCAGAGAAATCTCTGGAAGGTGATGAGCCCCAGTTTGCTACCTGCCGGTCTCTGCTACGTTCGGGCCCTGCAGCGTCCCTTCGTGTAAATATTAGAGCTGTAAGTTGAGGGTTCCTTCCTTGAGAAGCAATTGGCATCAGTCTACATGCTTGTTTCCATTTGCATTATGGAAGTTTTTGTGTACTTGAATTCCTATAAGCTCAAGGGAAAATTTTGTTTGGAAATATAGGTGGCGCAGTATGCTTCAGACGATGGCAATGGGAAAACTGCTTCTACCAGTGTTGATCAATGTCTCAGGTACTCTCACTTTCATTGGTTGGTTGCCCTGTCTTCTGCTGAATCCCATGATGCAAGAACAGCCACAAGCTTCTTATGATTTATGTGTCAACTATGTTCAATTTTTTGAAGGGCCTTGGAAGAACTGGATTCCTTGCTTTTGCAGGCATCAAGGAAAGAACAAGCTTCGGTCAAATCAATGAAGGCACAGATTAATACTGCCCTTGGTGCATTGGATAGGTGAATCTTTACTGTTTTACTATTTTACTACGTACATGACAAAGCTACATTTTCTGAAGACCATCATTTTTTGCAGCCTCCTGGAAACTGTACCATCAGATGTGCTGGACAAAGGGAAGGTCGCGGCTGATTCTTATAGGAGCTCATTAGAGAATGCAGATGTTGATATCTCAGACCCGGACCTGAAGCAATTGGAATCAATATTATGAACTCGTGAGCTTTGAAATTTTCCTAACGCATACGTGGATGTTTTGTAAACTTCGTGTCAAGATTCTTGGTTTCTTTTTCGTCACCCCACATTATATCTGTTGTCGGAAAGCACCTCTCTTGTTCAACAAAACTTGAAACCAATTCATTACCCGTGGAGGATGAAAGTGTTTACTAGAAGCGGACGGCTTCTCCGTACAATTTTTACATTGACAAATACATAATGGACCAATTTGAATCGATCGACTGTTCCAACAGGTTTCCATTCTCTTTGTTTCTTTTTTTCTTACTTGCCAAGTGATCGCTTTGCTATGGATAAAAAAATGTAACCTTTAATAGTATAATCAACAAATAATTCACTCCAGAAACCCAACTGAAATAAACAAACTTGGAAAACCGAAACTGGATCAAAAGAAAATTAATCAAGAACGAAAACAATTTATTGGGCCATTACATAAAGACGGTACCAAATTCAGTACACTATACAAACATAGAATTCAGATTGTTTTGAATTTCACTCGTCCTGAAAAATTGAGTTCAAGAGGATCAAATGATAGTTCAACATAAAAACAAACATTACTTATTGTATGGTTTACATAATAAGCCTATGTCCGCTACCTATATACCTAAATCAAATACAAGCACAATAGATGACACAATTTACATACAAGTTCCTGGATTGACCAAATCTGCTTGCCACACTAAGAGCTGAGTCAACAAGTCCCGCAGAAAAGAGATGCATTTCTTGCTCTGATCAAGACTGTGACAAGCTGCTGAAGATGCGCTTCAAACTTGGGTATGCCAAACGTAATCTCCCCATGCTCATAGGACATAGCTGTCAATCACCGTAAATGACAAAATTGGACTACAGTATAAGAGACCGGTTTTCTTGAAACATTATAGCATCATATGAGAAAGAGAGAGAGAAAGAGAGAGAGAGAGAGAGAGAGAGAGAGAGAGAGAGAGATGAAGTTTGAACTAACCTTGGGACAAAAACGGACATCAAGAGTCTCCAGCATGCTACATTTTGATATGGCAGCTTCCACTGCTGCTTCATCAATGTTACAAGACTAATACATACAAAGTCCCAGCAATGAAATTACGGAAGAATATCAGTAAAAAGAAGCAGTTAGCAGCCCTTCATAGTAATGGCTGGTAAAAACAACAGCCAAAGCAAATAAATAAAAGCATTTCTTTTTAAGATTTTGTCGTTATGCCTGAACATGAAGTTTTTCATGAAAAACAAAATAAAAAATATTTAAAAGAAAAACGATAATCCATATAAAGGGAGTAGTATAAGAGACAAAATGCATACCTGAAGAAAAAGACTAGTCAATTTAGGACAATCAAGCTTCAAAACTTCCAAAGAACAACAATTGCTGAAAATAGGATAGAAATGTTAGCAAAGATAAAACAGCATAAAAATCAAGGACCAAACATACAAAGTGAATTTTACCTCAAATTAAGAAAGCAGAGGTTCGAACAAGCAACATCAACATCCTTTAAATTTGCAGACAGAGAAAGGTTTAATGACGACAAGTGGAAACAACGTGCTGCTGGAGGAATGAGAACTTTCCTAATATTTGGACAACCTACACAATTGAGGTTCTGCAGTAATCGGTTTGGCTGCTCAATTGGCTCGTGGGCACTCTGAGGTAAAAACATGCCAGATGGAGCAGAAATACTCGACAATTCAGAAGGGCGCCCACCACTGCTAGCCCAATTCAGGTCATGCATGTTTACACAGCCATTCAAGCTCACATGAGTTAAGTGTGTACAGAAAGAAAGGAGCTCCTCTATAGCAGACTGACAGAGTGTTCCATAAGACAAATCAAGTTCCTGGAGAGCTGGAAGAGTCCCTTCCTTGTAAAGAGGCTCTAGGGATGAGTCAGATAAATACTTGCAGGCTTGCAATTTTAGCACCTGGGAGAAGATAGGAAAATAAGAAAAACAAGATAAAAGGTTGAAAAATCTGCCCAAGATTCATATAATTTAAGTTCAAATAAAGAAACGTGTCATATGCTATTCAATGTACATAAAGTATTCATAGGTATGAGGAGCAACACGCTCCATGTTTCAAGAAATAAACAGGGTATGGGTCGTACAAATCACCTTTAGTTTCATACAAGACTTGAAAACTGGCTTCAAGTTCATCAAGAAAGTGTAGGACAAATCAAGCAGAGTCAAATTTGGAAGCCAGCACAGTGAGTACAGTCCATCGGAACCAACAGAGGGGCACGACATCAAAATTAAAGACTCGATCAGTGAGCATGAAGCAGCTGTTGCAGACAAGCAATCATCCCTAAGCTGGCTGCATGTGCAAAAGTAATAGGGATTTTAGTTAGATTGAGGCCTGCAGAAAAGGAGGGGGGCAAGAAACAGTCCAGGTAGTAGAGTATAATAAAATAAAGAAAATAACCTGCAAAAGGAAGCATCTAGAGAGGTCAAGAGTGGACAATTGATGGATGCTTCAGATAATACACCACATCCCTTCAACTCAAGAAGCACCATGTTTGGCGCTTCAATCCTGAGCTCGTTCAATTTAGGACATATTCCCAAATTGAGTGACCTAAGACCAACCTGAAGAATTGAATGAGAAAAGGATTCAGTTGTCTAATGACTGCTTAACGGCAGAATTAACATGCATTACAAACAGTGCAAATAGAGTAGTTACATCTCATGACATAAATCTTCAAGAAAGACCAGCAATCATGCATATAGTAGAACTCGTGTTCAGGAAAATTATAAATTTTCTAAGAAAAATAATTCATTCTCACTTAACTGGACAAAACGCTGCTCTTTCAAGATGATCACAACCATCTAAAGAAACTTGTTCAAGATAGGGGCATGTCAGTTCGAGAGAAGTGATTGCCCGGCAACCAACAAGTGAAAGACTGACTAAAGAAGTGCTGCAGAATCGAACTGCCGTTAAGCTCTGAATGAAGTGAACACATTATGTCAGCCAAAGGAAGAGCGCACAACAACCAGAAGATAACTCAGTCTATCAAACTAAAAACAAATGAGTCAACCCTCCCTAAACAACACTGTTTCCAGTCCCAAGTTTACAGCATCAACTTACAGAGGCACATGGAATATATCAAATATGTCAAAAATGCCCACCAAACCAGTATGCTAGCATATTCCACTCTCAACAGTATTTACTCAGCTAATGAGAATAGACAAATCCACAAACCTCACAGTTTTCGAGAACTAGCATTTTGAGCATAGGACAACCCCCACCATCACTGAAAACATCACATATAGAATTTGTTAAAGATTCACAATCTGTAAGGTCCACTTCTTGCAAAGATTGGCATTGCAGTGCCAACGTAGTTAAGCTTTCTTGCTTTTGCAATGCTAGTTTCTGCAAATCCAAAATATCGCTCATTCAGATTTCATGCATCTGACAAATGATGAAGACTCAAACTGTTTCTTCAAAATACATACCAGAAGTGAATTTGAAGTGATGTTGATACGATGGAGCACCGGGCAGTTAGACACCATAATAGATGACAGCATGATGCACCTTAGATTTAGATCAGCAAACCTGCAAGAGAAGTACCCAATGTAAAAAATATATTGTCCTCTCCAAGGGGATGTTTTCAGGGTTTTCTTCGGGGTTGAGGGGAGATATATATATATATATATATATGCGAGAGAGAGAGAGAGAGAGAGAGAGAGAGAGAGAGAGAGAGAGAGAGAGAGAGATGGGCTTGCAGAAGCGTACTTGCGACAATGTACTAGTCTAATATTCTGCAAGCGTGGGAGATCCAAGGACACAGCGGTAAGTAGGCTGCAATTGTCAAGCTCCAAAACCTACAATGAGTCATAAATTAAATTAAATATGTTTAAAGAAGTCAGTGAGACAGCCCAAGCAATACCAATATTTGACACAAAATTCAAACCTCCAGCATGTAACTATGAGATATTGCAGCCATCGAAGCTGAGGTGATGCCCTCACAACTGTGAAGCTTAAGAACTGTCAACATTGGCAGTCTTACAGACTTCCAATAATAAAACAAGGAAGCATGTCAAATAAAAAGTACATCCAAATATCACTAAAGCGAAGACTGACTAAACTACAAACTAACCTCAAGGGATATATTTGGACAGTACGACGCATTGAGAACATGGAGATTAGCACAAGTAAGAGCTATCTCACGTAGTGTTTCATCACTAACACATGAGCAATTTGACATATCTAGAGACTCTAATTGAGGGCATGAAGTTGCGGCTGAACGAATTGCAGCATCCGAAAGCTTGTGGCAAGAGCCCATATCAAGATCATGCAAAAGAGGGCTATTAAGAACGGCCTGTGCCATGTTACTGCGCTTCAATGAGAGAGTTTCAAGTTGTGGACACCTGCAAAAAGATCAGATTTAGCACAAAAATGTAACCAAAATCACAGCGCATGACAGTTAAATAAATTAAAATTATAAAAATATTTTCACCTGATGGATATGCGCATAACACGACACTTTGTTAATTGAAGATGACGCAGTCTTTCATGGTTTATCGGTATTTCCTGAATACCATTACCAAGAGTGGCATCATTGACAATCAAACTTTTCAGCATTTGACACTCTGCTAATGAATGGAAAAAGAGATCCCCTAGCTGCCCTTTCCCTAGGATTAAAACCTCAAGATTCCTGAGAAAAAGTTCAAAATTAAATATGTAAAATGGAAACTATATAATCACCAATTATAGGATACGTGCATGAGCATAAATACTTAAAAATGCAATTTACCTTAATGAAGAGATTGCTTTCATAACAAGCAAATGAATAGCAGGGGTACCAGAAATATTCAATTCTGTGGCATTGGGATACCGCCAACATATATCCTCAACTGCAATAACAAATGAGTAATAAGCACCCAAATTTTAATCTTAAATATTTAGATATTTTAAAAAATTATTCAAATATATATAACATTAAATTAACTTTCAAAATACAAAAACATTAGTCAGACAATAGGTACAGACTGTTTTTAAAATCCACACACTTCCATTACTATTTACAAATGCAAACTAAAATTGATAAACCCACAAGCAGCAGAAGCCGCATACAGAAAACAAACAAAAGTATCCCAAAACCATAAATTTTTTGAGAGGGGGAGAAGACAAAGTTCAGAACCAAACACATCTGTGACCGCTAGTTTGACAAATTATCCATTTACTTGGCACAACTACATCTTCAACTTTTGTACTTTGTAAAAATGTTGAGCGGTAAACCACAAAA